TTTTTTTGCCGTATGTGGGCCTCTCACTGTTGTGGCCTCTCCCATTGTGGAGCACAGGCTCCGGACGAGCAGGCTCAACGGCCATGGCTCACGGGCCCAGCCGCTCCACAGCACGCGGGATCCTCCCAGACCGGGGCACGAACCCGTATCCCCTGCATCGGCAGGCGGGCTCTCAACCACTGCGCCACCAGGGAAGCCCAGAGTTCTATTTTTATAGATGGTCTGGCCATTATCCTTTTGTATATCCAATCTCTCCATCCCTTCTTCTTGACTCTGTAGATCAATTCCATCCTCCTGACTGGGACACTGTGGATCCTGAGGCAGCAGATTTCTAGCATCAGTGCTGAAGTCTCCAAGCTCAAAGACACCAGGTACCGTCCATTCTTCCTTTCCCCTCCTCTTCTAGTCTCCTTTCCTTCGTTCCCCAAATGTTCATTGAGTACCTTTTGTAAGCCTGGTCCTGTGCCCCAAATGGAATAGCACAGTGTCTAGATCAGGCTGTCTCAAACCTCAGCACTGCCACTTAAAAGCTGTGTGACCTTAGGCAAGTTACATAACCTCTCTGAAACTCAGTTTCCTCATCTGTAGAACGGGGATGCTAACACTGCCCATTTCATGTGGCTTACGAAGCATTTAGTACAGTTCCTAGGAGGGGTGAGTGTTTCCTGTATTAGAACTATTAATATATTCTCTAATTCTTCTACTGTGCATGCTTATATGTACAAATTTACAAAACCAGAATCATACTATTTTATTTTTATAACCATTTTTCTCTTAACAACATGTAATGAATATTTTTCTATTTAATTAGAAATTGTTGACAATATCTTTTTTTTATATATAGTGTTCTAGTGTAAAGACCTAGCACAATTTATTTAAATCATCCCTTATTTATGGACATTTAAGTTGTTTCTTTTTCTTTCTTTCTTTCTTTTTTTTTTTTACTGTTATAAACCATCCTATCTTGAAATACCCTTGTAGGCAAATCTTCTTACGCATCTGTTGTTATTAAATACAATAATAGTATGGAGAACAGTATGGAGGTCCCTTACAAAACTAAAACTAGAATTACCATATGACCTGGCAATCCCGCTACTGGGCACATACCCAGAGAAGACCATAATTCAAAAAGACACATGCACCCCAATGTTCATTGCAGCACTATTTACAATAGCCAGGTCACGGAAGCAACCTAAATGTCCATCGACAGATGAATGGATAAAGAAGATGTGGTACATATATACAATGGAATATTAATCAGCCATAAAAAGGAATGAAACTGGGTAATTTGTAGAGATGTGGATGGACGTAGAGACTGTCAGAGTGAAGTAAGTCAGAAAGAGAAAAACAAATATCGTATATTAACGCATATATGTGGAATCTAGAAAAATGGTACAGATGAACCAGTTTGCAAGGCAGAAATAGAGGCACAGATGTAGAGAACAAACATATGAACACCAAGGGTGGAAAGTGGGAGGGGGGATGGTGGTGGGATGATTTGGGAGGTTGAGATTGACATGTATACACTGATGTGTATAAAATAGATAACTAATAAGAATCTGCTGTATAAAAAATAAATTAAATAAAATTCAAAAAAAATACAATAGTAGGCATGAAATTGCCTGAGTCAGAGTAGGTTGGATTGTAACACTGTTAGTATATATTGCAAATCGTTTTCCAGAAAATGTTTCCATTTACAATAGTGCTTGTTTACCTGCAGCTTTGCCAACACTAGTGTTTGTCATTTTTATTGTTTTCCTGAATTAATATATGAAATTTACAATCTCATTATTTTAGTTTCATATATATATATTTTATCTTACAGATGTGGGACTTTTTCATATTCTTATAGGCATTTGTTTTCTTAACTTCATCATTCAACTAAAGTTCATTTTAAGAACCTACTAAAACCAGACATTGTCTAGCTTTTATCAACAGTAAACTGATAATGTCCTTTACTTATTTTCCTGTCAGTGTCCAATCCCTCACTCCTCTTGAATATTTTTTTAAAGTTATTTTTAAAAAGTTAGTGCAAAAAGTTAAAACAAAGTTAATACATACAATGGTAAGAAAAATTAAGTAGTGAAAAAGAGAACACATATAAAGTCATTCTCTATCTCTCCCCTGACCCCCTGGGTCCCCAGATCCCTCCTACCCTAAGCGACCATTATCACTTAAATTGACCTTCCTTCCAGAATATTCTATACTTATATATCCATTACATAAATGATAGGATACTGTACATATTATTCTGCACTTTGTGTTTTCCACATATTATGTAGCTTACATCATATCAATACTTAAGGTTAAAAACAACTAACAAGGGGCTTCCCTGGTGGCGCGGTGGTTGAGAGTCCGCCTGCCGATGCAGGGGACACGGGTTCGTGCCCCGATCCGGGAGGATCCCACATGCCGTGGAGCGGCTGGGCCCGTGAGCCATGGCCGCTGAGCCTGCGCGTCCGGAGCCTGTGCTCAGCAACGGGAGAGGCCACAACGGTGAGAGGCCCGCGTACCGGAAAAAAAACAAAAAACAAAAAAACAAAGTGAGATCAGCTGGGTGGTGTTATTCAGGCTCCAGGGATGCCCGTGGGGTCAGGCAGAGGCTGGGCTCCAGCTAGGACTACCTCCGTGCTCAACTCTTTCTTCTGTCCTACCCTGTTCCCCTCACTTGTCCTCTGCTAAATGCCCTCCCGCAATCAACCCTGAAACAAGAATCCTCATGGCAGAGTCAGCTTCCAGGAGGGCCTAAGAATCCCTCCCAGCCATTAAACACTAAGCTGTCTCCTGACCCCAGGTCTGACCTGGGTACTCACCCCATGTCTTATGCATCTTTCCCATGTAAATATCATCTCCTCCCGTGGGGAGTGGGGGAGGGAGCTTTCCAATACAAATATCACCTCCTCCAGGAAGGTTTCCAGTGTAAATACCACCTCCTCCAGGGAGCCTTTTTTCATATTCTTTTACACTGTGGTTTATCACAGGATATTGAATATAGTTCCCTGTGCTATACAGTAGGACCTTGTTACTTATCCATTCTATATATAATAGTTTGCATCTGCTAATCCCAAACTCCAAATCCATCCCTCCCCTGCCCCCCGCTTTGGCAACCACTTGTCTGTTCTCTATGTCTGTGACTCTGTTGCTGTTTTGTAGATAAGTTCATCTGTGTCGTATTTTAGATTCCACATGTAAGTGATATCATATGGTATTTGTCTTTCTCTTTCTGACTTACATACTTTATCATACTTAGTATGATAAAAATGGCATTATTTCATTCTTTTTAATGGTTGAGTAAATATTCCATTGTGTGTGTGTGTGTGTATACACATAGAAATGTACACATATATACATATATACAACATATATGTGAGATGTATATATATATATACACAAACCACATCTTCTTTATCTGTTGATGGACATTTAGGTTGTTTCCATGTCTTGTCTATTGTAAATAGTGCCTTCTAGCCTTTTATTACTACAGACAATATTGCATTAAATACATGTGTCCACACATCTTTGTGTCCATGTGTATCTGTAGGCCAATTGCCTTTTCAATGTCTGTAGGATTTGATTTTCCTACCTCTAGGCTTGGAGCCTCTGTTCCACGTTTATTCTCACCCAGGTGACGGGTCACATGGTGGCAGCCTCAGGCTAAACCTGGGATGGTGGTGGCCCATAAGGACAACAGCCACCTCCTAGAACCTTAGCCTCTGCAAATCTTCCCCTCCAGGTTACTGACATTCAAAGCCTTTGCTCAGATCTTCATCTTGGGCTGTTCCTGGGTGTTGGGCATTTTCCAGATTGGACCCATGGCCAATGTCATGGCTTACTTGTTCACCATCATCAACAGCCTGCAAGGAGCCTTCATCTTCCTCATTCATTGTCTGCTTAACCGCCAGGTAGGTAGCTGCTGCCTTCCCAGTCCCCTTCCTTCCAGGGCTCATGCCTCTGCCCACACATGCCCCTGCATCTAAGAGTGATTCATCTCCCCATGATGTGTCTCCACCTTCAGGTACGGGAAGAATACAGAAGATGCATGACCAGGAAGACCAAACCCAGCTCCCAGTCCGAGACTTCAGGGATCGTACTGTCATCCATTCCCTCCACTTCCAAAACGGTGAGAGACTGCATGTTGTACGCAGCTTCTGGTCAGACAGAATGTCTGCTTCTTAACAATACTAGACAGCACTGTATGTTGAGTACCTGCTGTGGGCTAAACACGTACACGGGTATTAACTCATTTGATAAAGTTTGGGGTTTAAGGGTGGGGGTTTGGGAGCCAGACTGCCTGGGTTTAAATGCCAGCTCTGCCCCTCAGTAGCTATGCAAACTAAAAGAGACAAAATCATGACTCACAGATATAAAATAAGCATATGTCAAGGATTTTATTCTGCTCATTAATCAGTGAGGGAAGCAGCAGATGTTATAACTGGTTCACAAGAGAACGCAAAGAACAGACGTGTATGTGTATTACATCATACATATAATGTGTACAATGTATATAATGTACACATAATACATAGCACACATATAATGTATACCATGTTCACAATGTATACATAATACATAATATTACTACTTTATATATATGTATGTTCTTTGTGTTCTCCTTTGAACCAATTATAACATCTGCCTGGTTTCCTCATTGATAATTATATGTAATATATAGAACATATAATTATATATTATATAATTATACATATTATTGTAAATATACAGACATTATATATAATTATTCACATTATAATATGTAAATTTTATATTATATAATATATAAATATATATTATATATAAATTTCATACATAATATCTATAAATTATACATAATTATACATAATTGTATTTTATACATAATTATAAATATAAAGCCATTATATATAATTATTAATATTATATAATATAATCATACATATAATTATAAATATGCAGACATATATAATTATTAGTATCATATAATATATTTAAAATTCATATATGTGTATTACTTATGTATTAATATATGTGAATTAAATACATATATAATCTCAATAATATTGAAATGAGAGTGCAAGTAAAGGAAAAACAGATATTTCCATGAAATTATTTTCCATCACTCTCAGTTATTTAAAATTTACAGAATTGTAAAATAGCTCCACCATAGATCAGATAATACCCAAAGGGGTATCCTCTGACAATGCATCATTTTTGTTCGAAGCGCACATTTTCCTCTACACAATGGATCTCATCCAATCTCATGGCTACAAACACCATCTATTAGCAATGACCCCCAAATTATAAATAATGTGCAGTTTAGCCCCCTCTCCTGAATTCTAGACTCATATAACCTGCCACCTACCAAATGCCCCCACTTAGATGTCTAATAGATGTCGCAGATGTAACACATTCCAAATGAGCTTCTGATTCCCCTACCTCTCATTTCCACATAGGGTCCTCTATTTTTCTATTGCTCGGGAGGGAAGGTGTGAAGTTAACCTTGACTCTGCTTTTCTTCTCACTCTCTTCCGTCTCTGATTCATCAGCAAATCCTGATGACTTTTTCTCAAAATGGATCCAGAGTCTGATCGCTTCTCTTTCC